GAATACTGCAGAACAAAAGGTAACTCTGCAGAATTGGCAGGCTCTTCCCTTTTGCTACAAGACCTGTAATTTGCYGTCATTGTCACCACTGTCCCCACTGCCCCTGTCCTTCAGGACACACATCAAGAAGCTGTGGAGCTCTTTCCTGAGCTGGGCTCAGCACTCTCTGAGCAAAGAGTCTGTCAGTCAGACACTGCTCTTGTGGAATGGATTGAAATACCCAAATAACAAATCACAACACCCCTCCTTGTCTCCCTGCCAGCTGTGTCCACTATTCCTGCGAAGCCACCGACTGCCAGAGGCTGGAGATCGACAACGCAGTGCTGAACTGCACCGGTGGCACCGGCTGGGACAACGGGGCCCAGTGCAACGTGAGCTGCAGGACTGGCTACATCCTGCAAATCCAGAGGGACGATGACCTCGTCAAGAGCCAGGTTTGTCCTGCTGGGGGTGTTTTTTGTGATGCACGAGAACAGGATGAGCACGCAGATGTGGAGAAATTGAGAAATAACTCAGGCTAAACSTTAAAATCTTAGCTCAGCCTTGGGACAAGGTCTTATCCAAATGCTTGTCATCAAAGCARGAGCCCTTTGACTCTGTAGGAGGAGTTATTGGCAATGAGCAAAGCTCAGATGTTCCCCAAATTTAGAAATTTTAAAACCAAAAAGTTTGTGTTCAGTCCTTCTTTGATCTCACCAGCTCYACTCAGCCAAACAGTGGGGTTGGTGTTTTGGGAGTAGGGTGTTTGTGTTTTTGCACAACCAATTTCTGGGCAAAATACTCATTTTTAGTCCTCAGATTGAGGCTAACAATGTCTTAACTCCTTTGCAGTGTTTCAGTCCATCTGCTTCCCACCACACTCTGACATGGAAGGGGTAGAGGGGATGGAAAAAGCATCCAAACCTTTTTTCTTCCAGACTAATCACCATAAACCTCCCTCAGCAGGGCAGGAAGTGCTCGCCATCCTCTCTAATCCATGCATTAATAACCCAGTCCCACAAAAGCAGTGAGGGGGGTATTGAGGAAAACTATAAATTTGTTTAAACATCAAAAAAATGGAGGTCTGTTGTGCTGGGGAAGTTGGATGAGRTGCAAGGCTCTGGGAGCAGAAAGCTGGGGAMAGGAGGATGCAGGGCTGACACCCYACTCTGTGCTCTCATCTCTAACACTGCCACATCCTCTGAGTGTGATGTGGGGGTGGCTTCCCCCATCAGCACCTTCTCAGTTATTGTGGGGGCAGAACACATCTGGGGCAGTGTTMACATCTGGGGCAGYGTTCACATCTGGGGCAGYRTTCRCATCTGGGGCAGCCCTCACATCTGGGGCAGCCACACTCAGCAGCCTGTCTGTACTTGTGAAATACTGTGTTCTTCATGAGCTCGTGGAGGGGGCAGACAGAGTGGAGGGGAATGAGTCAGCCCTTTCAACTCAATTACAAAACAAATACAGGACCCCGCAAGCTGGGCCTCTTCCATCCTAATTGGCATCAGCACCAGAACCCCAGCTCCAGCTGAGCATTTTTACAGAGCAGAAAACAAGCCCTGAAAATGAGCCTGAATGGCTGAACCAGGAAATTGTTGGAAGGGATCTGTACATGGGGTACATGGGGCACGCAGGGATCCCAAACCAAATAAAACAGCCCGAGCATGCTTCTCCAGCCCCGGGTTGTTTAAATGCAAGAATTACCTTTTGGGGAAGCTCGGCCAGCTGGGTATGGTTTTGCTGGGAGAAGTTTGGTTTCAGAGCCATGATCAGACTCATATGACAGGAGCAGAGGATTTAACACCCCTCGCTAACGTGATTCACTGCCTATTACAACACGCTTCCTCTCACCCTGCTCTGCTATTGCACTTCGTTGTCTTTTTCCACCAATAAAACCCCCTGAGGCCARTGGCTTTGTTTTGCTCAGTGCTGTGCATTTGCTGTTCAAGTCAGGGAGTGGAGCATCTTAAAGATACCCATGACCAGCTAAGCACATTAAACACATGCTTTTAGAAGTTTTATTAGCATGTCTCAGAGATCTGCTAAAAAGGAGCAGTCTCTTTCACTATCATCTTGTTTTATTTCTTTGTGCCAGGTGCTTCGAACTAGAACTTGTGGAATGTGCAGGCAAGAAATGAGTTATCTGAGCAAGTCCAGAACCCATGGTCTGGATTTCTCATCTCAAATTGCTTTGTGCTCCTTCCATAATTACTTCCCATCTTCTCTTCCAGTCACGAGCATTTGGGGGTGAGAAAGGGCACATGGGTCTTTGGTCAGAGGGACTTTCTGTCATGGCTGGAGATCCTTGCACAACACTGTTCCTTGTTTCACTGTTGTCATTGGGTTATTTCACTCGTTTGACTAATTTGAAGGTCTAGAGATTTTTTTTTTTTTCTTTTTTCTCATTTAGCTGTCAGTGTGTGAGGCTGCCTGAGGAAGAGGAGGAAGGAAATAGCATTGCACATGCTGATGTTTACACCCTTGGGTAGGAAGGAGGCTGAGCTAAGGTGCAATGTCTCAAAGAGCAGACTGGCCATCAGTGGCCCATGGTCACTGCATGTCAGTGAAGGTGATTCACAGAACAGTGGAAACAACTTGGTTTGGCACCTGAACCATATTTGTCTTCCCTATTTCATTGAAAGATGGAAAAAAAGAAGGGCAAAGAGAGAATTAAAAGCAAAATTTTCAAAAGCACCTTGGTGATGTAGGGGCACAAGTCACATTTCAAATCAATCTTTTACATCTAAAGGGTCTTTGAAAATCTTCTTAGCAGTTTCTGCACTTTCTGGTCTCTGTGTCTGCTGAAGCCACCATTTTAATCAGTCTTAGGGCAAAACATTCATTCATTCCCACTCTGAGAAGCTCCCATTTCCAAATTCTGTTAAAACTCCATAAAATCACCAAACCCTAAAACCCGTCAGCACTCGGTGCAGCAGAAATTGTTTGCTCCTTGAAAAGAAAAAGAAAGCTGAGCTGTTTACAGAATCTTGGGCTCTCTCTCATCCTCATTTAGGGACTTCAGCAACAACAACAACAACAACAACAAAGGGGCTCCCATAGTGATGGAGCAAAATCCTTCATGTATCTTTCTTACAAAGATCTCAGAGATGTTTTCATTCTCCCTCCACGATTTCTTCCCACCCTCCCCTGACAACTCCATTGCTCTTTCTTCTCTTCTCCCTCTTTCCCCCCTTTGTCTTTCACTGCTTTCCTCCCCCTCGTCCTTCACTGAGAGCCCTGCTCATTCAGTTCCTTGTTGTCATCTCTCCTTGAAGCTACCACCACTGCTGCTCTGGTCAAGAGGTGTTATTTAAAACCCAGCAGCTCCCTAATGTTGTGCAAAGGCATCATCAATCATGCCAGGAAAAGAAAGCGAGGCTCATGTGGGTTCAATTAGAGGCACAGTAGTGGGCAGAAGTGGAAGAATACTTAGAGGGGAGGGCACAGCTGTTCATTTTTAAGGAGAGGAAACTTCACACGTGAAGCATCGCTGGAAGAAGGAGCCGGCTGGGATCTTGGGCAGCAGGAAGGAGACACAGATTCTCCCAGGCTGTTCAAAGTCCCAAGAAACAAATCTCTCTGGCACCAGATTTGTTTAAGTTTGCATCCTCCTCGCTGCACTACACACTGTATCTTTGGAGGCCCCTTTTCTCTCCCCCTTCTCTCCCTCCTTGCCCACCCTCCCTCCTTGCATAAGCCTCTTTTGGAAGGCAGGACATGAAGGGAAGCAGTTGCTGTGATGCCAGTCAARGCAGCACAAAGTGCCCAAAGTGACAGCTAATAAACCAGCTGAGAAAGCCAAGTGCTTGGTGTGGGCTGCTGCGCACCAGGTGACCTTGTCAGATCAGACAGGCGAAACGGGCACGTGCCTGCCCGGCCACGGCTGCCAGAGCTGCAAAGGCACGGGCAGATGCTGCCACCGAGACCCAGCGCTGGATCAGAGGGATGAATCCATCAGAAATACCTCCAGGATGTGGCATGGGGCTGGGGAGGGATGGGAYCCAGCAACCCCACCCTCAGGTGGGGCACTGCCAGAGGGGGAAGCCAAAAGCTGGTGGTGCCATCAGYGATGATTTCCTTGGGAGTTTGTCCTCTGTGCTTCCAGTCAAAGCCACCAGTCTTTGTCTCTGTGGCAGGGAACACTCTCTGCTGTGCCCTGCTGCAGAACTACATGTGCTCCTGGTGCTTGAAGTGATGACATGATAGACATGCTCTAAAATGTGCCATTATTATGTCTGACCTTGAAAACCTCCGCTTCCATCATGGCCAAACGTGGAACGAATTACTGGGAAAAGCTGAGAAGCCAAGGTCTTAGCCCCATGGGCACAGCTTCTCTGCATGGGAGCAGCCTTTCCAGTGTGCCAGGAACAGGAAAAGCCATACAGGGCTGAGAGGATTAGGTTAGGGTTTTCATGGGACAGGGAAAAACCCAGAGGTGAAAATATGGAGATACTAATTATTTTTATATTTTTTTTTAACATCAAGGTCTAGAATAGGGGCACAGATAAAGGGCAGTGAGAGTACGGCTGTGAAGAGGGATCCCTTCCAAAGAGAGGGGATCCCAGGCATGTGGCATTTCCAGCAGGCTCCAGTGTCCTGCAGCTTTCCACTGACAAAGGCCACGGCTGCAGCTGAAATACTCTCACAAGCAGTAGCTTGGGTAAAACACTTTTTGTGAGGTGTGACTGTCATGCACAGAAACTGCTCCTGTTTTAGTTTTTGAGTTACGTTCTGGTTTCTGACTTCAGTGTCTCATGCTCTGCAGAGTTGCATCTGATGTGCAACCCTATTGTTAGAGAAACTTCCCTGTGCACCACACTGCACCTCAGCAGCCAGCATCAGCCAGTAGGAAAACTCATTTATTCCTAAACTAGATCACAGCAACAGTAATAACTTTATTCCTGGAGCTGAATCTGTTATCATTCATGGAGCTTCCCTGTGTTCAGCATGGATCCAGCATCCAGCAGGAAACTGCACAAGACCCAAGTCTTTTCCATAACATTTGTATAGCCCCTGACATCATTAGCTTCAGTTTATTGACATCGATTCCTTGGGTTTATGTTTTAAGTTCCAGCAGCCACAGTGCTGCTATGTTATTTGATGAGAGCATTTGTTAAAGGGAAATGGAGGCTTTGGGGCAGCTCATCCTGGAGTGCTGAGGGTTTGCAGGACATGGGAATACACTGAATTTTCCCTTTTCCTGTGGCCATCACATTACAACCCCCTGGAAGCAAAGGCATCTTCAGGATGCCAACTGCCTACAGTTTACAGACACTTTTTAGATATTCTGATAAGCAACGAAGGCAGAATTAGCAGCCATTGGGGAGGGGGTGAAATGATTGCAACTGAGAACACACAGTGTCACTTCACCTGATCGCTCTGAGTATCCCAGAATGTGCTACTCTGAGTTTGTAGAAAAGGCATTTTTTTCCATCAGCAGTGCTCCCTGTTTAAATAAACTCCACGGTCTAGAAAAGGGGTTTTGTGCCCACTTGGGAAGTGTCCAGTTTCTCAGCTCTGGGACTGCTTTTTCCATTCTGAATGCAACCATATATCAAAGGGAGACAGGTCTGAACTTCTGTTGAAACCATTAGGGTGTTTTTGCAAAAAGGGAATCCAGGTCCCTTTGATGTGTGCTAGAAAAATTCCCCTTCCTTTTATAAACCCAGATCAATGGTCGGCGGTGCAAATCTCCTGTGAGCATACCAGCCCTGAATAAAATATTCCCTGGAGGCAGAGGAGTGCTGCTGTATGGCTTGGTCAGATTCCTCGCCTGTATCTTCCCCTTCTCGTGTTTGGGTTTCTCACATTTCTTAACCTCTGCCCCTCTCTTTATTCTGGTGTGGAGGGAAGAGTTAGATTCTTCACTTCTAGGTTGTAATAATTTTCCTTTTTTTTTAATTTGAAAGTGGATATGTTGTTTATTCAGTTCTCTTTGCCAACATCTGTTTGTCCTTCAGTCACTCACTAAATTCATCTTAGCTTTGGATAGGTGGCTCCTATACCTCCCCCTTTTTTTTTCTTTGCCCTTTGGCCAGGATTCCAGTGTGCTGTGCAGTTTGGATTATTCCTCAGATCCACAGGAGTGTGGCTTCTGTGTAGCTGTGATGGTAGAGTGACTTTGGGCAAGTCACAGCACAGGCACTGACTTTGTGTACAGCCTCTCTGGTTCCAGTGCCAGTCACAGGCAGAACTCTCTTGGGTCTGTCCATGGCAAATTCCTCCTGGAAAAGGTCTGTCTCTCAGGCATTCATGTCCGTGGTGTCAGACCAGCAGGGCCCTGATTTTGTGTGGAGCCTTGGGGCTCCACAGAGCAGCCAGAGCAGCAGCTGTCAGCATTTGCACACAACGTTGATGTGGCCCAAGGCAYTTCCCCTGGGATCCCCATCCAAGRGTGACTGACACCTCTYGGGAGAGCCTTGGATGAGAGTCCCRAAGGGGTTCATGTCAGCTTGGCTTTTACTTCAAACCCAAGAGTGAGTTTGACTACTCGGCAGCGCCAGGGGATCCCCTCGGAGCGGCTGTGTCACCGCCAAGGTGACAGCGATGGGGGACAGCTGTCAGCTCCAAACAGCTCAGGCTTGAGCTCCTTTCCAATGGCAGGGAAGAGCAGCAGGTTCTCTGCTTGTCTCAGGAGGCCAGACAAGAGTCTGGGTTATTTGTAGAGCTCCACTTTTTGTATGGAAGTGCTTTGGTGTCTCACCCGAGGTGACAGAATACATCCTGTTTCYTATGAACCTTGGTGGTTTGGTAGCSGCTGTCCAGATGATRATGGTAGGCACCAGGCATGGTTTTGCTTAACTTGTGAGCCAAAAGAATGGTTGTTATTAGGCTTAAAATTGTTCTGATCTCTGCCTTGCTGGCTGTGGTGTCTGTAACCATGTTCTTTTCCCAGATGGGGTCCAGTGTCACCATGACCTGCGTGGATGGAAAGTGGAACAAGCAGGTGACCTGTGAGCCCGTAGACTGCGGTGTCCCTGACCAGTACCACGTCTACCCAGCCACCTTCAACTGCAGCGAGGGCACCACCTTTGGCAAGAAATGCTCCTTCACTTGCCGACCTCCTGCTCTTCTCAAAGGTATCAGGGGGTGTCTGTGCAGTGACCTGGGCTGAGACACAGCCAACACAGACTGCTCCTAGGGATACATGCTCCTGTTGCTGTTGGTTTAGAATTATTCATGATATTTTAAGTATGAAGAATTATGGGACTCCATGGAAGGTTTATTTATATTAGAAGTTAAGTTCCTTTGCATCTCGCTATTACCTTCCTTTGACCTTTCCTTGATCGCGGCTGGCTGGGCAGTAATGACAGGGAATATTGCTTCCATACAACCAAAACATGGAAAAGTCATGGGGATAAATCAGATTGAACTTTCTCATCTTCTTTCCCATGCTTTGTCTGTTTCYTCTGTCTGTCTCCTTTCTATACCTCCTCCATGTATTTGGAAGGGCTGGAGAAGGCTGGAAAACCCCTTATCCCAGTGGCACAGACCCCCATCACTGGTTTTGCTAATCTCACGTCACCCATTCTCACACTCATCTCTTGCTCTACCTCTGACCTTCTCTCCTCTTCTTGTTAGGGACTCTTTAATTTTTTTCTTTTTCATTTTTTTGCAGTTTTTTTCTTAGATTTGCTGCCTTTTCTCCTCTCCYCCTCCATCTTTTTCCCTGCTACTTTTCTGGTTACATGCTCATCCTCTTCTCAGCACCATCAACTCTTCTCCTTGCTGGCACATTTGCCTTTCTGATCTGGTCCTCAGGAAGCAAGAAAAGATACCATTGTTAATYTGAAGGAACATTACACCCAAATTAACTTGTCCATTTTGCAGTGAAGTAAWCTCAACTTAACTACTGTTGCCAACTCAGGTACAAACAGGGTATGAGCTTTTTTTGTGGTATCTCCTTTTCTGCTGGGATACATTGCAAACCCCAGAAAAGGAAGGAATGGGAAGTATTCTTCATTTCAGGGAAAGGCTATGTTGATTTGATTTCTTCATATAAAAGCAAATTGTTTAATTCTTATTTAATTCTGGTGGGAGACAGCTATAAGCAGCCAACACACTGAGAAAGACTACACCAAGGGTAGTTAAAGAAAGTTAAGACCACATTTTAGCAAAAAACTCCCTTTTTCTGTTTATACACTCAGAGGGCCATCTTCAACAAAAGCTTTTTTTCCCACTTAAAATGCTTTACATTTTTTTGGAGTGGGCAGTGAAAATGATTACATTCATCATGACCAACAAGAGCTGATGACTCAGGCTGGRGTAGCTGGAGGGATAACACCCAACCCCAGGTCAGGGGCTGCAGCTCTGGTGTGTAACACCACTTCACTTGTGTCCAGAAAYGCTGTGAGCTGTGAGGTGGAGGCACCATTTGGTGTGGAGCCATCACTGATGACTAATAAATGTTGCCACCGAGCTTCTGGAGAGCAGATCTCGGGTGACTCATGGCTAATTCGATCACTGACGTCATGACAGCCACTGTTGGTAATGCCACAGCTTATCRCTTTGCAGTGTATGATATCACCACGGCTGGCCTGGGAGCTGCTGTGTGAGTCAGAGCACAGGAAAATGCTGCTGCTCCAGAAAAGAGCTCCCTCCTGCACAAAATGCCTCTGCAATCATCTGCACTCGGGGAGGGGAAAGAGAAATCCGGGCCTGATTTAATGCGGCTTCTCTTATCTTGGAGGGCAGGGCAGGAGGGCTCCTCCACATACCTTCCTGAGCCCTCCAGAGCCTTTTGTTTTCCTCTTCTTTGAATTCCAGCCTCATGCCCCGGCTGTCTCCCTCCCCTYGCAGAGAGATGGCATTGCTCCGGGGTTAGCAGTTTGTCAGTATTATTTCGGATAACTCCGAAGTTGGCTCACTGTTGAAAATATGCCTTGTGGGTTGAGAAGAGTTCCTGCAGCAATGCTCGGGGATTTCAATGGAGTATTAGGGATTTTTGAAGGGTTAGTGGCTCATAGCTGTGCTTTGTTTCTTAGGAAAAGCTTATTCCTTTTCAACATATGGTATAAAATAACAAAGAATGTAAAATACACTGAGACTGGGCTACTTTTAGCTTAACCTTCTGAAGTCAAGTAGGTCATAGCAGAGGCAAATAGATCTATTGTACCTTTTACCTTTGAGGTGTTGGCCAAGAAAGCTTCCTGAGCAAAATGAGTCTCTAATGAGTATTATGAATCGTATTTATCACAGTAGTCCCCAAGGACCAAGAGTCCCCAGCTGAGAATGGCTTCTCATTGTGTTGGAGTAGTGACTCTAATACTAACAGATGCTGCTCCAAAAGGCTCTAAATTGAAATAAAAAGGGACAGATTCAGGGAAGAGATGTAACACAGAAGCAGAATGAAGAATGTGATGGCATCAGACCCTCTGTCAAAGGCATGGCTTTGGAGAGGAGGGGGTTGGTGTATGAAACAAGCTTCCTTTCAGAGAGGAACAAAATAAGGAAGAGAAATACAAAAGATGACAAAGCCCGTGTGGCTTCCCCTATGCTATAGCATTTCCTGAAATAAGCACTGCCTGCCTGTCACCTGAAAGCAGAGTCCTTAATGATTGAATGACATCATCTAGAGCAAGAAAACTCACAGGGCATACACGGCTGAATTTGTCAAACCCGCCGAGGTGACTTTTGATATTTCACGGGTGTAACGGTATTTCAAAAGCAAACAGTCCTGCTGAATGCTGCTACCTTTGCTCACTGTTCTTGTCAGGAAACAACAGCAACTTGACCTGCATGGAGGACGGGCTGTGGTCCTTTCCTGAGGCCCTGTGTGAGTTGATGTGTCGAGCACCCTCCGTCGTCCCCAACGCCGATCTCCAGACCTCTCGCTGCCGGGAGGACAAGCACAAAGTGGGCTCGTTCTGCAAGTACAAATGCAAGCCAGGTTACCACGTCCCAGGATCCTCCAGAAAGTCAAGGAAGTACGTGAAAGGTTAAAGCCATGCCATCAGCCTCATGCAGAAAGCCATGAGTTAAAATGATTTTGRGAAGGGGATGTTTATCTCAGTGCTGTAGGGAATAGCATGGAGCCATTCCTCCATGCAGAAACCTGTGCAGTGTCAGTTTAGGCACCCAGCTCACTTGGTTTCTTTGAAAAATCCTGACCAGTGCTCAAAAAACAGACTTYACCTTGGAAATACCCCTTTGATATGCAGCCTGGGGAGTCCCCTTTGAAACCCTGCAGAAAAGGGTTAGTCCTGTCATATACTTCTGACTCTGCACAAACCCACTTCAAACGAACCACAGCCCACAAGCCTGGGAAGCTGAGTTTTTGGGAGATGTGTCTAAGGCCAAAAGAGGAGTTTAGGCTGGGTAGCTCAGTGTTGGTTTTGCAAATAATCGTTATTTTTGCTCAGAGACCTCATGACGCACATTCACAACTTGTTCCCCCGGTGTTAAAAGCTCGAGCACACCCATCCCCTGCAACCTGCTAGCGGAGCTCAGAGGCTTTAGAGGCTCCCAGCTGACTCAGCCGCTCACTAAATGTTGCTTTTTTTTTCTGCACAAAAAGGCGAGCCTTTAAGATCCAGTGCACGCAAGATGGCACGTGGCTGCCGGGCGCCTGCGTGCCCGTCACCTGTGACCCTCCACCCTCCAAATTCCAYGGGCTCTACCAGTGCTCCAACGGCTTCCAGTTCAACAGCGAGTGCCGSATCAAGTGCGAGGACGATGACAGCCAGTCGGTGAGTCTCCCTCACCCAAATTATCTCAGCCGTAAAAGTGTGGCTTTATCGTATCTTCCATAAGGATACTGATCTTGGACAGGCTGAGGGACATTGAGCTCTTCCAAGAGCAGAGAAATGGGGAAGGGGAAAACATAATTAAAGTAGAGGGAGAGCCTGGAAATATTATTTTTAYGACARTAATCACAGTGTTAATGATTACCTGTAGAGGACTAAAAGTGACTGACTTACTGTTTCTGGACAGTAAGTGSCAGAAAGATCTGCCTCAGTGGCTTTATGATCTGGCTGGAAAATAAGGACCAACAAATGACAGTAAGTAAAATATGAGTTATCTGCACTTATCTCATGTGTTCATTCTGTTTTACCTTGCTTTTCTCTCTGGTTCTTACACTCTGTGTCTGTGTGCCGTGTGATAATTTAATGCCATAGGGATTACAAATATTCAGGTGAACTGTGTCTCTAAACTTCTGTGGTTTTCTGGCTGTGAAGGTGTCATTTGGCATCAGAGGTCAGATYCTCACCTGGCACAGACCAGCATGTTGCCTTTGGCTTCCTGGGAGCTGTGTTCACTGACAGGAGAAGGTCTGGCCTCTAYTATCTTGTTTGAAATGCCTAGTTTTCCTCACCAGAGGTAATTMCAGTTTGTGAGATAAGTAACTTCTCCCAGAAGTGCTGCTGCTGYTCCCTGTGCTTGCATRGAGAAAGTGGAGATRTGGAATCTGTGGCTACTGCAGRCACTGCAGGGAGCAGGGAKTGCTCTGATGAGGGCTGTTTRATAWSATTCYAGAATCTGAGGACATTCAAAAAGGTACCAGCCCTGCCCTAGGGCCAGTTGTGTGAAACGCACCTCTGTTACCTGCTCCAAATGTTAAAAATCCCTGTTCCCTGCCCTCTGGCCTGCCCYTTCCACGGGGACAAGAGGCAGAGCTCTGGCATTTCACATCAGGGCACCTGGAAAAGTTTTCTTTGTGTAAGACTGGGAATGAGGGTGTGAGCAGCATGAAATGAGAAGGTGCAGGTGTGGGTGCAGAGCAGGTGGGAGCTCTGGGATACGRCAGCTGTGGCTTTGTGCATCCTCCCCTTGCTCAGAGTGGTCAGTGTGGCTGGTGCCATGTTCCAGCACAGGATTTCCAGGGCAATGCCAGCTGATGGAACGGGGCTGTCTTTGCTTTTGAATGAGGTGAACACRAAGAGGAGCAAGCAGTGGAGTCAGAATTGCAGCTGTAATGAAGTGAGCTCTGGAACGGGAGAGGTACAGCTCTGTCTGTGTTTGCTGGGAGGGAGAGCAGTGACTGCTCAGCTGTGAAAGCACCTTGGGCAGAGGAGCTGATAACATCTTGAGAAAGGGATTTACAGTGAAAAGTATTTTCAGATATCGCAGAAAATAGGCTGCAGAAGAAGAGGGAGGACTCCTGGCACAAGCCAGAACCACTTGAGAGGTGTTAATTATTTAAGGATTAAACCCCACTAAGTCTCTCTCAGCTATATAAGGTGATAATACACGTTGCATCCAAGCAAGAAACCCAGCAGGGATTTTCACAAGAGATTTTGCAGGTCAGGGAATGATGGACAGTATGTTACTATAGCAATGGATATCCTGGGATCTCTGAGTATGTTGCTGAAACTATACAAGTGTACCCTCMAGCACAGCCAGCTGCAGGAACATAAATCAGGTTTCATGGCTCACCTTTGAGAATCATGTTTGAACCCTGGCATGGAAATTGCAAGGGAAGTGTGCCACACTTGCTAAAACAGCAAATTGTGCTCAATTATCATTTAGCAATTTATTCCTGACTTTGTCACCGYGCTGAAAGATCACTGCTTGGCTGCACATCCAGCATCTCTTAATCATCAGGAATGTAATGGTCATTTAAGCAGGTACCTCCCCTGGCAGCAGAGCAAGGGTCTTCCATTTCTGCATATTGTACACAAATCATATGAACAGTCAGATCTAAATTAATCAATCTCTGCCAAACTGGCCCTTAGGTGAGAATCACCAAGCTGGATCACACCCTGAGTCCATCTGCTCCATTATCCTTTCATGTGATTTCCTTATTACTTCTGGCAATGGCCAGATGTCTGGAGAAGGGGAAGCAGGGCTCACACTGTAGTCTGCTGCTAAGACCACTTTGCATCTCACTAAACATTATGTTCATCAACATAGCTGAGCCAAAAAAGAGAAAGTATTAGGATATTAAGGTAAAAACTAATAYTGAAGGCTGTGCCATCTTCCACACCAGTTCCAGGGGCTTGTGCAGGTCCCTGTGCAACAATGGGCGTGGGTCGTGGGACAGAGCTCCTCTGGAAAGTTCAGCAGCCCTGCAGGGATCCCAGCACAGATAGCACATTAAAGGATTCCCAAAAATACCCAGCACATTCTGCAAGAGCAGGGTGGGTAGATGGCAGGCAACGTGCCTGGCGTGAAATATGGGTGAGGAGAAGCAGAGATCCTGCATGGTTCCCCCACCCAGCAAGGCCCCCACAGGAGGTTTGGAGCCCAACCACACCACACATCCTCTTGTTGAATGTCCCCCATAGCCCCACAGCAGTCGGGCTCRCAGATCCCACAGAACAGCTTGTTTGCACAGAAATCCCCAATGCCGTGAGGATAGATCTGACAAAAGATTGCCTATGCTCTCCTTTGTTGTTTTTAAAGGGCATGATATTTCCCCTTGGACTTTGGTATTCATTCTTCAGTATCATACAGAGAATCTTTTCTATAAGAGAAATGTCATATTCTACTCCTTGCCCGTTCCCACAGCAGAGGGTTTTTTGCCTCCTTCCCACCTGCCTCTGTGCGTGTCCATCTCAGCCCCTTCGCCTGCTGTCACTCAAGGCAGCCAAGCTCTAAAGAGCACGTTCTGCCCTGCTAAGCTCGTGTCCTGCTCTCCTTCCTCCTTCAGATGGCCATTGGGGATTCTTTCTTTTTCAAGGCAAAGATGATGTAACTGGTTAGAAAATGTGAAGAGGGAAAAAAGGTTGTCTGCATTCGACACCAACCTGTCTGTAACAAGAAAGAAGGCAGACGGGGTGAAGGCACCTTTATTGCAGCTGGAGTGGGGCTGTTGTAAGGTGGAGACATCGCAAGGGGATTGTAAAGACCTTGAATTGCACAGAAGAGGGGTTTGTGTGTGTTTTTTTGTAGGGGTGTGTGTATGGGTGTGTGTGTAGTACAGGTTTCCTTTTTTTTATTTGTTAGAAGAGAACTTCTTGCCCCTCCAGGCTTGTCCCAACCAGGGGCTTTTCCAGCTCCAGCATAACTTTGCTCCCACTCAGCTGTCCCATTCAGCATCTCCTTGCTGTTTCTGTGTCCATCCTCACCATCTCCTCCTCTCCTTCCCAGGGCCGTGGGAGCAACGTGATCCACTGTCGGAAGGATGGCACCTGGAGCGGCTCCTTCCACCTGTGCAGGGAGATGCAGGGCCAGTGCGCTCTGCCCACCCAGCTCAACAGCCACCTGAAGCTGCAGTGTGCCGGTGGCTATGGCATAGGTGGGTGAGCTGAGCATCCCCCAGCACCTGCCCCAGGTGGGAGCAGGCAGCAGGACACCAGGAAAAGGATGGGAATGGCAGGGAGGGAGCAGGGAGCCTGCAGTCCTTCAARTCACCTTCTGTGGACCTGTYTGGCCAAGTGAGAACCTGCTAAGGRAGGTTTTTCATGGAGCTGCTTTTGGGAAAGGTGAAGCTATGAGAGGCCAGGCACCGTGTAATGTGCTCTGATTGCRGGCTCCTTGCAGGGTTCCCAGTTTCCTGTGTCCCTTCTTGGCCAGCTGTTTTCAGGGGCAGCAGTATGCCAGGCTGTGCCAGAGACACAACCAGCCTGCAAAATACAGGGAGGGGTTGGTCCTGCTTTTGCTCTTGTGCTTTTGTGATGTCCCAGTCCTTCAGCCAMGTGCACAAACCCGCATTCCAGAGGCTGAAGGGCAGGAAGGTGACAGGGGAACGCAGCACCACGGTAATTCAGGCCTCCCCAGAAAAAGGATGGGACCAGCTGAGCTTCCCCTTGGGTATGACTGTTGTTTAGGAGCTGTTGTAATGGGTCTATTTTCTTCTTTTCTGGGGTACCTGCTCACTCTGCAAGGGGTGGTGACTCCTGTGCTTTGTGTCCCCCAGGCAGGCGAGRGACAGACCCTCTGAGCTGTACACACCATCATGTGTTTTCAGCCCCAGTTTTGGGGGTCTCCCTGCTGTGAGGGCTGCAACAGGAGCCGCCCAGGCTGCAGCCCACACAGGTTTGCGAGGCCCCTTCCTGCAGCCCCCCTCCCAGCCCCTGCCATCCCCCTCCTCCCTCCGCCTGTCCCTTTGAACTTGGAGAAATTTCCTCCTTGCGCGGCTCCCTCATTATATCGCAGCCATGCGGAGGACCACGAGCCTCCTTGTGTTCCCTCCCCCGGGAGGAGAACACGACCTGGATGAGATCACCGCTCTGTAATGATGCCAATTACAGATCATATATCAAAACAATTCCGACCCGCTCCTCTCCGCGAGCGTGGTGGAGCRCGGGAGAGCGAGCGGCGAGGAGGCTGCGGCGACTCTTAATGTGGAGAGGCGTTTTACCCTTGAGACGAGGTTACCTCCAGGGCCAGACAGGKTTTTGCAAGGAGAGAAACCCCAATTCCTGCTTTGGAGGGGAGCATCTCAGCGCTGAGCCCGCCAGCTCTCACCTCTCTCACGGAGGCTGTCGGCAGGTGCCAATCCCAGGTGTAGGGACGGGTGGATCTGACCCCACAATGGGACCACACAACATCATGGAGTGAGGGGTGTTGGGGTACACCCCCCATCAGAGTGTGGCTCTCTCTGGACAGGGATTTAGGGCTCAGAGAGGGCACAGCGGCCGCTGGCTCTCATCCTCAGCAGATGGAGACATACCACACACTTTGTAGGCTCAGCCAGCACCAACTTTTGGGATCAGATGTTGGGGTTTTCCTGTCCTCTTTGCATTTTTGAAAGCCTGATCRATGTCCTTTTGAAAAGGTTCTTTCYTGMCACTCCTTCACCATGGGGTGGTATCAATGGACCTCATCCAACAGGTCCTTGGAGCCACAGCTGAGTGCCCTGGGAAAGCAAAACAAACCCCAAGCGCTCCCTGCCTTTCCAGCCCAGGTCTGGCTGCTCCCACCGACTCCTCCAAGTGGAGAATGCAGGAAGGCAAGAAGCAGGTGGGAAAAATAATAGCAACCAGTCGTGGTCACCATGAATCCCACACACCTTCGGTAATTCCTCAGACACCTAATCTGCCCTTCCAGGCTGAGGCGTGTGTTGAGCCAAAGGTTCAGCTCTCCAAACCAGTGTGGAGATTAATTCCTCCCCCAGCGCTGATTGGAGTGCAGAAATCCTAATGACATGTTTGCAGCAGCTGTGCCATTCAAGAGTGATTTTCCAGGGGGGAAATGGTAATGGTCCAACACACAAGGGCTTACGGTCGTGTCACCACGGGGCTCTGGGATATTGCTGCAGAGTATCGCAGCATGTTTTAATAAAGAAAGGACAGGATTCCCACTGGGCATGACAGTTAATCAGAGAAAAAGCAGGTTTATGTGTGAACAAAGCCATCATTACCTTTCTGCATACTTCTTATCGACTGTGGGACTTGGGTGATAGCTTGTCTCCAATATCATCAGGCTTGGTCACCCTCTGGAAGATTATTATTGGATGTTTGTAAATCTGACAGCTCAAACAATAGGTTTTTTGCCATGTCACAGGTGAGATGAATTCGACAGCCTCTGCCTGATCAGCTCCCACTGCTTGAAAGAGGAGTTGAAATGGAGAAACCTTCAYGTTTTCTTGATGATCTGAAAGCGCAAAACCTGGCCCCCTTCTTGGAGTTAATAGCCAGAGAAATACTGAGATTTGCAGCTGGTACAAAAAGGCCCTGGAATATCTGCCACCCCCACGCTCTGCTGCTGAGCACAGGGCTGTACTCAGCACTTCATGTGTGGCTAGGAGATATGTGATAGTTATGGTTGACTGCTAATTGCAATTTAGGAAAAACGAGCCGTAATCCTGTCCTTCAGCTGGAAGGATGCTGGAAGGGTCAGGAGCTGCCTGCTTTATCCTTCAGCGTTATCCCCCTTGTGTTTTGAGCAGGCACRGAGTGTACCACCTCCTGTCTGGATCACAGTCACGAGCCCATCCTCCTGCGCGTGAACGAGACGGTGCAAGACATCCAGCACTGGATGAACCCTCAGAGAGTGAAGGTCAGTGCCTGGCATCAGCCCAGCCACATCCCTTGTTGCACATTTATGGGCAGTGATCAGTGTTACCTGTGCTTCATTCGATGAGGGGAAGGTGGGGAATTTGGACCTTTAGGAAAAAAATCCTGTTTTTTCTTGCGTCTGTTCTGGTGGCTTTCTCTCCAAGTTGCTTTCTCTCTGTGTTTTCCAAGTGAAAGTCAGTTCAAGGTAAAGGCCTCACATCACTGGGGTCTGATCTGGAAATGGGATTCGTGCCACAGGAAGATGGGACAGACAGCGAGAGAAAGGGCACTGGCCAGGTTTTATTTTCTTCCTCCTCTTCCGTATTTTGCATTCTTTGGGTGGCAGGGCTGGATTTTTCTGCGCCGCTCCTGGATGACAAAAGAAGCTGATACAGAGGGTATTTCATTTCCCGACCCCACGGAGCTGGCTGAGTGCTCCCCCCACCCCTCCGCCCGCATGCCAGAGCTGCCTGCTCAGCACAGCCCCTTCCAGAGGTCACAGCTTCTCCCTCCTGCCCGCTGCAAACGCTCAGCCAGCATTAACTGCTCGCAGCTCCTGTCCCCATGTCCTCCAGCACGCACTGGTGGCAGTGTGCCCCGATGGGGATGTGCACACCCATGTGCAGCGCCTTGCACACACACACACACTCAGCCCTGCTGGCAGCAAACAGCTGCTGGGTGTCATGCCCACCCACCTCTTCCTGAAAACCCCCACCTTCCTACAAACAAACCAGGTGTTTGTGGCTGKGTGGTGTTTCTGCACGTGTGGAAGCCTTAACTGGACATGCTGGAGCACGTGGCAGAACACTGTGGGTGTCACCAGGGTGCGAGTTGCTGGTGGTGCTTGGGCAAGCACCTCTGGCTTTTACATACTCAGTTCTGACTTTGCAGGAGTCTGCTTTTACACACCTGAACTCCATTAAGAAGGAGAACGAGCAGCCAGCACAGCCCCAGCATGTCCTGAGCAGCTTTGACAGTCTATTTGCTTCTCTATGTGCCTAAATGTGCACCCGGGGTTTGGGATTTTTGAAATCTGGCCTTGGCTGTGGGTAGCAAGCAGCCCCAGAACTCTGCACCGCGTTAAACTTCCCTGTTTCACACAGAGCAAGAGAATAAATCCAGRAAAGAAGTGGGAAATCTAAGTCCAGAGAGTATGASAAGCTCMTAACATCCTTTCCAGCTTCCCRTTCGCTCCAGACACTGAGGTTCTGTGACTGTCTCAAGCCGAGGCTTTGCCAAAYTCCTGGCATGAAACATAAAGAAAACCCCTATCTCTGCACGAGGGGCAATTTCTCACTGGCCCTTTCCTGAGTGCCAGACTTTAAAGTGGTTTGTAATTCATGGGGAAATAAAGTGACAGCTTCCCTCCCGYTCTCTCTGCACTCCTTCACTTATTGATGCGGGTGCGTGGAGGGAGCTGTAACGAGTTTTGTACCTGCAGGTCTCTGGAGGGCTCATTAGGCAGCAGGGAAAACACAGAGTAGTAAAGGGGGAGAYGAGGGGAGTGAGGGATGGAGGAGAAATCATGGTTTCCAAGAGCACAGAGGTAAGTAAGACCCTTTCCCCGCCTCCCGATGGTGAGGATCCTGCAAGAGCCTTAGGCCCTGAGCAGACACAAGTTCCACCCCACAAACTCTTTGTAACTAGAGGGAGAGATTTGGGCTGTGTTGGGAGGGGAGACATGCCAGAGGGGTTTGTTTTTTTGGAAGCTGTAARACACCCATCTTACCCAGCTCTGCAGATAAAGGGATGTCACCCACGGGGAGCGATGCTTCATGGGGTGACACTGTGACAAACGCTGCTTCTGCTGGGAGCAGGGAGACCCTGGAGAGGTGGCACTGCCTCGGGGGCAGGTCCCCATGGCAATGTGCTGYACATCATAAATAACCCGTGTCTCTGCTGATGGCCAGCGACAGCTTTGGGAGCAGCTGGTTGCATTTACACGGCGAGTCTTTGTGCACCTCGGAGCGCTCCAATGACGCAGAGGAAAACGCTTTGAGTTGCTTAATTTCAGGCACAAGTGAAGTACAAATGAGGGCAGGATGGGAAGGAGATAAAGGCAGGGCTGATCAGTGGTGCTTACCATTGAGGGGATGGGGACAGAGAAAACACAGGGAGAGATGACAAGAAAAAATAAATTATTTGTCTGGAGCAGCTCAAGGCAACATCTGTTATGGAAGCAAAATGGGAAGAAGGCACTATCCTTTCTCTGAGGGTTGTTTAGAGCAGAACTGCACAAATCACTTGATTTTTCGGTTCACTCAAAGTTCTGTTAAATTTTGAAAAAGAAATGTTTTTTTCCCCAATCAAAGTGACTCTTTTGTTATTATGATTTTTGGTGAACCAAAAAATTGGAAGAAAAAACATGTTGGTTTGAACATAACGTTGCGTTTCATTTCCAAGGGGATTTTGTAAACTTTCTGTTTAGTGAAAATGAAAAAAAAAACCCAACAAAAACTTAGAAATTAAATGTCCTCTCAAAYGATAAACAACAACAGATATTTCATTTCAGAAAATGTCTAAACATTTCTACATACTTCAGAATTGGTTTAGGTTGAGTTGCTCTGTTGGGTCTGAAACAGTTTGCTGAAATCAGTATAAGCTGTCAGTGTCTTCCAAATCAGTAAAAAATCAGGGAAAAAAAAATTCAGAAAATAAAAAAATCAGAAAAAAGAAATCACCTGAAGTTCTTCTGTGCCTGTGTTCTGCTGTGGGATGTGTTCAGAGCAGCAGTGCTGTCCCCATGATTTCCCCTTCCCTGTTGTGACACATGGAGCTGCTGAGGACACCGATGGAGAGAGCTGCCAGGGCTGACTGTGCAGGCAGTGGGGAGAAAAAAGGGAAATATCTGCAAGAGATGGCTTGACAGCCCTTTCCCATTGACTGCAGAGAAACAGGGCAGACACCTCATTTCTTAGGTTGTCTGAACTTGGGCTCTTGTCTTTGTGCTGAGTAGGGACAGGCTTAATGGTGTGTGTGTGCCTGAGAGAGCCCTCAAAGGGTCTGTGTGTCCCAGTTCTGCTGGGCTGGGTGTGCCCATGGCCCCTCTTCCCATATGGCCTGCAAGCCCTGGGATTATAAATGTCCAGAAGTCGTTGGTGGGAATG